ATCCAAATAAGAAGATATTTGATCAATATAAAGTGTACTCTAAAAGACTGATCACACTCAAACGAGTCATGTGCTATGGAGTTAGAAGTAGTATTCATCATGGACTGACATCAGTTGGGGAACCATTGAAAATCTGGGAGCACTGGACAGCTGTTTCGTCCTAGTATGGGACTTCTCAGCAGTACGCACCCACGACCTGGTTAGGGGTGAACCACTGGAAACCGACCCAGTGGCTGAATGGTTAACGCGTTCGCCGTGGAACCTGTAGGTCCTGAGTTCGACCCCTAGCCGGGTCGTGGGTGTGTACTGCTGAGGAGTCCCATACTAGAATGAAACAGCTATCTAGTGCTCCCAGATTCTCAATGGTTCCCCAACTGATGTCAGTCCATGATGAATACTACTTCTAAATTAAAAATCCCCTTTCATCTCAAAAATACATTATGGAGTTAGTTAAGTACATTGATTATGACTTGAGCTGAATTCAAAAAAAGTTATCAGAGTCAAGAATATCAGTCAGTACGGCTCATATTTTTCGAATATATTTATTTGTATGAATTGCTCATCGCTATAAAGCGTTCATTTCAGACTAATTATACTACGATCATGACAAATGTATGTTCGGTAGTTTAAGATCCTACATATTTTTTGGCTATGTGAATAAAGATTATTTACATACTTATCATTTAGCCCTCATACAAAAAGTAACTTTACCTTTTAAACCTTAGCTCCGCAAAAACTTCAAACTTCTACACGACTTACAACAATGACCACAGACTTTATATTTCGCTGCTATACGTCTGTTTTTGTGTTTTGATTTCATTCATATTTTTCATACGGTCCCAAGAAACCTATCTTTTGATCCATGAAGTTATTAGGTGAACCCATTGCCGAAATGTTGCGGCTAGTTTATTTTGAAATTGCAAATTTTCATCCTAATTCTGACCCATACGTACATAATGAGAGAAGATATAGATCTTATCACAATTTGAAGTAATATGGGTTCGATTTTCAACCACTTATGCGTTACAGTATCATATCGCTATGTAAACTTCTGTCGCACTTCAACAAATGATTACCTAAGACAAATGTCGTTCATTGCTCTTCACACCATATGTCAGCTAAGAATGTTTCATACAACTCTAACCAAATGAAAATAAAGAGATATTTTATTACTGAGTAAATCATCTAAGATAAAATGAGGAGTAAGGTTAGGTGTGAATAATCTGAAATTAACAAAATAATCAGTTCCTTCCAGTTATACAGTAAGAAAAGATAATACAGCAAAGAAAATTTCCTTTCTCAACGATATCATTTTCTAAAGCTGTACAATCCTATTAACATATATATAAAACACTTGAAAAGGTCTATTATCAGATAACAAGATATAAGTGCATCATTAAGTTAGCGCTAAAAGACTGTATATAGGCTGTATATAGACTTTTATATAGGCAGAAACTATTGATATAAAGACAAAAGGAGGGGGTCGCCATCGGGCCACCACTTGGACCGCTGCTGGCTGATTGGTTTATGGCAAACCTAGAGAAGTGTGCTTCATTCAATAATTAATAGTTTCTGCCTATATAAAAGATATATAGACGGTACATTCATCATATGCGAACAAAATACAGATATTGAGACTGTAGTTAAAAAGTTCAACGATTGTTACCCATCGATCAGCTTCACATCAGAGTTTGAAGAGAGCTCCGAATTCGATTTTCTCAGTCTTATTAAAAAGGAAAACAAATGGTTGTCTTCAGAGATCGAGTTATAGGAAGCCTACATGGAATGGACAATACTTGAATTTCCATCACTGGGCGCATCTCAGCAGAAAAAGGAATCCGATCCATTTTTTATCTTCAAGAATCAGAAGAATCTGCACAAGTGATACTATCGATAATTAACTGGACAAACTATGGAAGATTCTGATGCAAAATGGATACTCATCCAGGTTTATCGAGAACTGTAAATTGAAACATAACATGGAGCAAGTACTACCAGTTCCAAAAAAGACCTTGTTTATGAACGCTGGTTTCAAAGGCGATACGGCAGCTTTGTGCTGATTGCAGAAGATCTACACACTGATTTCAGGTTAATGAGCGCCTGTCTTGCTTTTCTGATCCTGGCTTTGACGTGCTCGTCTCTGCCGCCTGTAGTTGAAACAGTGCTGCCTAGATAGGTAAAAGAGGCTACTCCCTTTAAGTTTCTTCCGTTGATGGCGATTGGAGCTTGTTGTTGTTGGTGGTGTTGGTTGGGTATCTTCATCACCTCTGTCTTCTCTACGTTCACTTTTAGTCCCGTCCTCACTGCCCTGCCTCTTCTGTCAACTTGTTAGTTTTTGCCTGTAGATCTTCGAGTTTGTACGACAAGACATTGGACATAAATCATCGGCGAAATCCAAATCTTCTAGGCTCTTTTCATCGACACAGCCAGCGTATGCCCATCTTCTCGCTCCTTACTGTTTGCTGCATGATCCAGTCCACCACAGTCAAGAAGATCATCGGTGATAGTAGGCAGCCTTGTCTTACTCCTGTCTTCACTTCAAAGACGTCACTCAGCTTTCCATTGTGGATCACTTGGTATGTGGCGTTTTCATATAGCTGTTGAATGAGGTTGATAAAGATTAGTGGCACTAAAACTGTAGTGCTGAAGCAGCTACCAGTCAGACTACTTCTCGGTCGACGCTGTCGAAAGACTTTCTAAAATCGATGAAGTTGAGGTAGAGATCCAGTTGACTGCCATTCTATGCTGTGTTCTATGATGGTACGTAAATGTAGCGTTGCAATTTGATCCGTACATGATTTGTACTTCCTGAATCCAGCCAGTCTGTTCCGGTCGTAATTTTGAGTCCAGAGCATCTTTCAGTCTCTCCAGGATGATGCGGCTTAATATTTTGCTTAGAGTGGACAGGGGCATGATTCCACGTCAATTCTTGCAAAGACTTAGGCCTCCCTTCTTTGGGAGTTTGACAAGGTAGCCCTTCTTCCAATCTGCAGATACCTTTCTTTCCTTCCAAACCTTCTGCTGTAGTGGTGTGAGCATGTCCGCTGTTGATGTCTCTGAGTTTGTTTTTAGTGCTTCTGGCGGAATTCCATCTGGTCCTGATGCCTTATCGAATTTCAGCAACTTTATGGTGTTCAGGACTTCATTTCGGCTTTTGTTGGAGGGATTGTGTTCACTGGTAATTCTAAGGCTGCTGGTTGTATTTCTGGACGAGTTGCAGGTGGTGGTCGATTCAGGAGTGTTTTTGAAGTAGTCAGCCCACTCTTTCTTTGTTCCTCCTCTTTGCTAACTAGCTTTCTTCCACTAACTCTCATTGGTTTCGTCTGAGTTGATCTCTTCCTTCCCAGATAGTAGCTTGGTTATTTGGTATAATGTTGTACGGTCTCTCTCTTACCTGCAGCCTGTTCTGCTTCGCTTGCCAGAGTGTTGTAGAAGTGTCTTTTGTCTTTCCGCACACTCTTCTTCACTTCTTTGTTCATTGTAGTGTTTTATAGGTTGCATTCAGTTCCCCTTTTCATTGATCATCCCTGCACTGAACTGCACTGGTTCAGCTTCTGCTTCACTATCTTCCTCTCGTTTATCAGCTTCCATATATGCGTCAACATTCATTCCTTATCTTCTTCCGTCTTCCTTCCTAGTACGGTTATGCAGGTTTCCCTCCAAATCTATTTCAAAGGATTCCAGTGTTCTTCCACACAGGTTTCTTCAGGGATGTAGCTCATTATCTCCCATTTTGTCTTGATGGCTGACATGAAGATGTTCCTTGTAGTCTTGTCCTTCAGTTCAGTTTCTGTTCTGGGTGTTGAACTTGAATGGAGATATTTCACCAACTTCCTTGAAGGCTTTTAACTTGATTTTGAAGTTTCCTTGCACTAGATAGTGAGCGGTGTGAACCTACAACTGCTCCTCTTCTTGATCTTGTGTCCAATAAGCTGCGTTTCCACTTTCTTCACACTGAGATGAAGTCGATCTGATTTTAGTGTGTCCTGGTGTCTGGTAAAGCCCAAGTCGCTTTGTGAATATCCTTGTGTTTGTACACACTGCCTCACCTCCAATCACCAAATCGTCGAATGTGCGGAAATCTCTTAACAGTTCTCCATTCTTATTCATTTCACCGAGTGCTTCTCGACCCTTGTTTGGTTCTCTTCCTGTGTTGTCCGCTCCCAGTCTGGCATTCATGTCGCCCATTAGAATTTTGATGTCGCCAACTCTAGTTTTTTCCTGTACTGTTTGCAGTTGTCAGTAGAACTGCTCCCTCTTCTCTTCATTTGCATTATTTTTAGGTGAGTGGCGTAGTATTGTATGATTGTGACTTTCCTTCCTTTTGAGTTAAATCTTGTTATCATGATCTTGATCCTCGAGGAGATTGATTCCCACTGCATGAGAGCCTTCGATGCTGTTGGGGATATCATGATAGCCACTCCAAAACTCAGTGTGCTAGTGATTGTTGTCTGGCTGACAGGAGTAAATTATTGACTCTCCAGTTGACAGTTTGGAGAGTCCACTTTCATTCCATCTGCAGATTCCTCGCAGATTCACGGGTTTTAATAATAGAAGAGCGATAAAACTCTTAAAATTACACGATTCCTCACTTACTAGACTATAAGTCACGCTTGCTACTTAGAATGATAATCTTAGTAGTTGGGGTGTAGTTCAATCATGCAGCATGTTGATCAAAATTTGAGTAGTTAAACCTTTGTCGTTGCTAGGTAGATTCGAATAAGTTATAGTTTAAGCGTTGATGACATTGCATGACAAGTATGATTTTGTAGTTCAACCATCTGAACCAATGATTACACTACTGTCGCTTTGCCCGAACGTCTGGTCTTCACAATTCACTTTTAGTAATCACAATAATTGAATAAGATACCGTTTATCACCCTCTATTATACAACTGGCATGATAAACTAACTAGACAAGATATCAGTGTACTACGATTTCAACAGTTGAGCGCACAACTCAACATTGTCATCATTGGGATGCCTGACATAACTACTTACCTTGAGATTCTACACTACCGTTCCCACACGCATCAGAATGCCATTGAAAAGCTTTTTGTAAATCTCGGATTTCTGGTCCTGAATATAAGTAGCCAAGTGCTGTTTGAGCTGACACAGAAGCATTAGGATCGCCATTGTTTGCAGCCAATAAAAAGCATCTAAGTTTAATTAAATAAAACATTCAATACTGATTATTCGAAACCAAATTATGCTAACAATCGTTTGATAATAAATGGAATGCATATACATATGACTGATAAGATTCAAAGTATGTGAAATTTAGGCCAACTGACATGCAATACAAAGCACCAATGATAGCAGAAAAAATCTGGAGGTAAAATTGAGAAAAAGTTAGTTGAGAGGTGGCATGGTAACACAGACTGACCTATTCGGTCCTAAATTTAGTAACTTTAGTCAACAATATGAGTGATATATCTCTCACTTGTTAAAAAAAGTACATCGCTGCATGGAAATTTCAGAAATTGTTGAAATTTGTACGTTTTAGAAGTGAATCAAGACATCAGTATGCATATATTTTCCAAACCAAACTCTATAATTAGCTTACTTTATGATTTTTAGGCTTTTCCAATGAAGTTACATTGATAGGTAGCTACATCGAAATATCTTGACGGAGAATTGCAGTTTCCAGCAATCAACCGAAAACCATTTAAAGATTTAGAATCAAGTATGTTTCAGAATTCACAGTGCTATCAGTGATAAACATTCCATGATTCATACGTACATATTAAAGCTAACAAACAAATGTTTGCGATGGAACCACCATTTAATTGCATGTAATTCACAAGCTTCAGCGTACATGTTACCGAGGACATCCGTAAATTCGAAGCCATTTGAAAGCCCACCAACTTAAAACACTTCTCTAGCAAACTAGTGAGTGTTAACTTTTGTAAATAATTTTGTAAGAAGGAAGATAACTAAGGGATAGAATGCAATTCAATAGAACTCCAAATAAATAAATCTTAAAGTAGTTTCAAAAATGTGAATATCATTTGGTTGACCAATCAATACATCACTCGATATCTTCTTTCATGGAGTTGGGAAGTCTACTGGATAAAAGATACCCTAACTCCTTACTTACTTTGTATTTCTTTTGACTGAATTTTCTTACCTTCATCTTGCACCTCATTGCCTTTTTACTTGATGTACTGATATGAGCCTTGGCAACTCAGACCGTTACGCAGTAATGCCTGATCCTATGTTGATATTGATGATGATGAACTCCTTCACTTTTGTTTAGCATAACAAATTACTATAGTCTAACATCCACTTACTTTTGCTACACAAATACTAAAACCCAACAGTGAATATCGAAACCATGTCCCAGCTAATCAGCATAACTTACACCACCCAGCTTAACTTCTTGTACCAGTGTTTATCACATTTATGATGACAGATAGGTATGCCAACACGAAGTGCTGCACGGGAAACACGGACATGATTTAGCCCGGATCACAGTAGTACTTCAAGCAAAAATTAGTAGTAATGAAACCCTTTAAAATAAACAAGTTGGCGGGTATGACTGCAGGGGGAAAAAAGAAACAAACAAGATGCACAACATTTTGAGGTCGATAAAGGTGGATAAATTAGGTCTACGCTATTATGATTGACTGTTAGATATGAAATCTGAATACGTTATACTGATGGAAGTAACTTTTTATGCTTTGAGTTCATAACAAACAATTGCGTAGACAAGACTTCTGAAAAATGAAGTGTTCTTAATGGTTCTAGAAAAAATATGATGATGCTTACTAAGTGTTTAGCGATGGACAGAGTAGACCCTTTCTGGCCACTGGTTTGATCTGACACCAAGTATAACAAGTGAAAATGAACTAGTTAAGCGTGTTAATCATTTTACTTAAGTGAAAACTTACAGTCACTCTTTAGAACTAACATTTTAAGGGAATATGGTGAGAAGGCAATAGGCTCATCTTCCATTTTCAGCATAAACTATCATAGTTGCCAGTGAAATATTTAACTGGCTACTAACGGAGAAGTATACTACACAGTAGTTCGATCTATCCTAAAGCGTATTTGTTAGTAAGCAGTTGCAGATAGGAAACAAGCTGACAAGAGAGTGATCTGAGTGTGAACATCTTTGAAGCCCCGCTTCTGTATGGTCGAATCACCATCAGATTTAGGATACCCTCGACTCACAGATGATAATAAATGATTGAGAAGGTGCATTTGACAGAAACTGATAACACGAAAATCAACCCGAGAGTAATTCGATCCCATTTAAACAGTTGGAGAATAACAACCCATGAAGTCAAATTACTATTTTATCGAAAATTTAGACTCAAGCTAACTAAATTCAAAGGTAATCTAAGAGGCCTACTCAGATATTATGTGTAACAGCTTTAAAATCTATAAATATCATGTTCATGCTTTATAGGAAGGAGCCCATTGCGAAAATTACTAATTTGATAGTTCATAACGAAAATGTATATTATTAAAATTCGAAAAAAGTACCTAATAACGTTTAATGACCTGGTGAACGTTATTCCTTTAGACAGTGAAAGCTGTAAACGTAATGAAATATTCAGGTGGTAAAAAAAACTAATCACATCACATTTTTAGTACATATGCATAAATAAAACGAGTCCAAGTCATTAGTTATTAATAAAAGCAATTACAGGTAAGAATATGCTTTTCGTACCAACAGATATAATTGACTAGGCAAGTGTAAGTGAATATGATACATACGACATGGATGGATACCTAAGTACTTTAAGTGGAGATATAATTATACTTGATAATAATGATAAGCTCATCAAGATACGTGGTACAAATTGATAAGATTCTGAAATCTTCCTAGTTCACATAAAAGCTAAATTACATTCAGTTTCATGCAGAATTAAGTCAACGCCCACACTATGGTGTACATTTTATTGACAAATCTCACAAAATTCCAACCTCCACAAGACAGTATATGAACCTTATAAAAAGTTTGATAAAAATCCTTGCACTGCATATGAGCACTACATAAAAGGAGTTATAACCAGTCATAACTATTGGAACCTACATGCTGATAGGCTGTAAGTTCCCAACTTCGGAAGTTTCTAAATAAAATGAACGTTGAATGAAATTATGTTCCACCTTCTGCATACTTCCCTTCATTGTAAAAATACAGGAATCAAGACTCATGGTGTTTGTTTTGAATACAATCAATTATCTTATTATCAGAAGTACGCATTAATCTTATGGCACAAAATATCGATGACATCTTCATTTATTTAAGTTAGGCAAAACTCAGATTCTTCCACACTATTCGGTTTCCAAGTATTTTTAGACTACATTAAAAGATTTAAAACATTTTCTAATGACTGAGTACTCAAAGTAAATTATAAATATTTTTCAAGACATCCTAGGGGTTTTACATGACAGAAAAAAAAGTATCACTCCAAAGTATCAAAGACACCTAAATGGATGCTACTTCTCAAAATGCATGTCTTTTGATGAGTTTTTCATAAAACTCGTTGACAATGCAATGTAGTAGCGACATGCGAACGCAGTCATATAGATCAATACATTAATTTGGATAACAAACAACGTTTACCGCCTGTTCACTGTCTCTAGAGAGTTCGCAATCTGTGTTTTTACAATAATTTCTTACGCTCATACTAACAAATTAGTTCCCCCTTCGATAGATGAGTGCACGGGAGATAATCGTAACCGATTTCTGCTATCTCGATGACGACTTTATTTTGTGACATCCGTTTTATAGTAATGAATAAACAATCAATGGAAATAGGTTTTGTATACATAAATGCTGTTACCTGAATACGCTTTTCTTGGTGTCAAACATAACTCATTTAATTCCATGTCAAAACTATAAATTTATTGGAAACATTATTTACACGGATTAGTTATTCGAAAAACGAAGTCGCTACCGCACTTTAACATCAAAGAGAATTGATTGTGGTCGAGTTCTATACCTTGCTTCCAAGCGAGGATGAAAACATTTACCACTGATCAAAGGATTTCAACTAATCATATCCAAAATATCAGGTACCCACAAACTGCTTAAAACTAAATTATCTGTAAATTTAAACGAGTTTTTAGCTAGTAATTCGCCTTTAAATAACATTACTCGTTTTTGCAAAGCATGAAAGAGAAGCACAGTTATCTGATGCTAACTGATGACTCGTACGGCTAAATAATTATTGATGTTCGACCGTTTGAATCTTTAGATCCTTCAACATCAAATTTGAAAAGGCAAACTAGTAATGGAAGCCAACCCGAATCGGGGGCCAAAAGATGAGCTTACAGTCGTTTGGTTGTTTCGTTACTCAGATGAAAAATAACCACATATACACTGTAAAAGTAGTCAGATCTGATGTAATACTCCTAAGATATTTTTAGGACGAGTGTCCACTATAGTATGTGTGCAGAGATACATGGTGAAGAAAGGCAAGGAAAAGTGATACAACGGGAAACAGAATAAAAAGATACCAGAGTAAATGATGAAAAATGCAGGAACACAATATGGTTTAAAAAAATCTAAGCATCTACTTTCGCAAGGATATTTTTAATTTACAAATATTCATGAAAAAACGAAAGTGGATTTCATTTTTTTTAATGTTCCGCTAAGTCTAATATATACAAACATAAAGCTTTTGAACATTCAGTTTTCTAACTAATGGACATCATTTTAACACATGTTAACTCCCTCACTTCTCTCATGAACATTTATAAACGAGAATTATTCAGTCTAAATTTTCTAGATCAGAATAAAGCTACTTGATTTTTTAACTAAGGGGTATATGCTTCCCTGAATACGAAAATAGCAATATTGGTAGAAAACATTCAGTTAAAAAAACATTGGCTTCAGTTGTCAAGCCGATCTCAACAACGTGATGTGCAGTTAATGATAGTCATAGACTTAAACTTACGGGGGAAGAAACGTCAAGCAATTGAAGAACTCTTTCCTTCGACAATTCAGGTCAGGATTCTTAAACGTTGATTTTGAAGTGGGCTAATAACGCATTCAATCTCAGTTATTTGCGTCAGATTCCAAGTACAGCTTATGCAAGTGGCTTTGGATAAATAACGAACGTAGACGAGGACAGTACAAACAACAAGTTGTAGGAAAAAGCAGAAACTACTGTCACAAGACAATAATCTCGTATAAAGCTTGATAAAGCTAGTTTCGGTAAATTCTCAGCATGAAAGAACTAAATCGTGTCAAAATTCAGAAAACGTTAAACTAATATTTAGGTTACATATAAATGTATACAGAAATGTAGGCATACCTCAGTGCATCATCTAAAGATGGGTTTATCCCATACCCTTGATGATAGGCTCGTCCAAGATTATAAGCTGCACAAAAAACAAGGTTTCGCTGGCCATCAGGTGAACCAATATGACTCGAGGTAATAATCTCCTCAAAGAGTTGGCAAGCTTTAGCCTGTTACAATGATTAAGAATTTAAGGTTTACCTGTGGGTTCGGAATTTTACTTATTTCTTTACTGATTAGATTGTTATAAAGTATCACACCTAGCTGGAACTTGGACCGCTGATCATTAAACTTATAGCAGCCAATGTGAAAAAATCTCCATGCTTCATTATATCTACCCTGCTTTCGCAGTTTCAGTTCCCCAACCGGACTTACTTGTTCGAAATAAATCTGACCAAGATAAAATGCACACTCATCGTCTCCCTCATCAAACCATTTTTTGAGTAACAACTCCAAATTATCTTCAACTATCTGTTTGTTTAATTGGTTCTTATTGCTGATTTTGCCTTCTGCTATTAATCCTCTTACTGTTCTGTCAGACAGAAAATCTATGTTTTCCCCCGGAATACAATGTGGGAGACCACCCAACAACTCCATGACAGTTGAAATGGTGGGTAGTCACACTAGAAACAAAAGTGTAGATGTTGTTTATTAAAAGAAATATTCATGTGGTTGATTTCCAATGACGAGGCTACGAACACTCATCTCTACCTTATAGAAAAATGTCGAAATGGAATGTCCAACCACAATTTATGTGAATGAATATAATGACTCAAGTGGCTTTCACTTATCCGCTTGGTTTGCAGTACGAAGTCCAATATTGCTTTGGAAGTGTCAGTTAAAAGCATAGAAAAAAGTCAATCAGACAACGAGTCCTGCTGGTTTACAGTTCAACTCAAGAAATCTGGTTACTGAGAGAAGAGTATTCCTCTGTTTTTGAACTTCTCAGTAATATCCTTTCAAGTAAAGTTCATTGGATCTTCTGCAAACAGTACTTGTGATTTCAGTCTTTGGTTGTTCATCGATTAAAACTGTAAATATTGGAATGCCTTCATTGACCCTCGGGGAACATTGCTCCTACAGTCGTTGGATTAAGTAATAGACTTTTATCGTCGGCGAATGGCAGCAGTTCTCGAGATTCACACAAAAGCAGACGAGCAGTCTCATGAACTCCAATAGTTCTGGATTTGTGAGGTGAATGAATGTGCTTGACTCTGTTAAACGAATTCCACATATTACCGCAGACGACACTTACTTGGTTTTCACTGTCAGCTGCAGTCGTCCAATGGTTAAATGCACCAAGCAAGTAAGCCATGTAATAGTGGTTATGGTGACCGTATGCCATTCAACTACACTGGAACTTATCCCTTTCAGAAATATTGATAAACCATGATACCTTGAGGCCTCCAGCACTTTACCCTTTTTGGAAGGACGACTACTGGCTTAAAATTTGTTGTGCAATTCTTTTCACCTTCTCCTCAACGACTTCATGAACAGACGTCGGCGTGATGCCAAAGTGAACATAAGAGTGAAGGCTGACTTCATCATATCCTCAGTAACTTTCTCTGTCGAAACTGCATGACTTTTAGAGTCTGGAAGGCTATTTAAACTCTCAGGTGCAGGCGCTACATCACTGTAATCTTGTCCATGCTGCCACCACCCAGTCAAATAATCTTAGAAATACACTGAATGATAATGAATTTTAAGATATCTGACCGCCAGGAAGCACTTGAAATCACAGTTAACTTCTGCGAGCATCCTGAAGATATCAGGTCTTGTTATCCGGAGGACCCCACTTCCTCGAATGACGTTTATACAACCCTCCCAAGAAAGTGCATTCAAACCTTTTTGACGTGTCTCAATATTTGTGACCAGAATATTGCATTAGTTCGCGGCATTTTGATGGTTCCCTCTAGATGTGGGTTTGGGGATGTCGTAAAGTCCAAACCGGAATTGCCACTTAAGCACAGTTCATCGGTACATATTGTCGCTCAAATTCTGGAATCCGTGTGGCTAAGAAGCAACTTCTCCCTCCTGTGTTTGAAAACCCATTTGAATTAAACAGGTTTTAGAATCCCGTAAGCACTGATGTTCAATAACGCAGATGGCTTACGAGTTTTGGCGAATAAGATGCTTAAGGGCCACTTATTGGTGGCTGTATTATTGATTATTTCAGATCGGAGTTGATTAAACTGCTTGAAACCCCTGTAAGCTAAGGAAATCTACCCTTATATCCTGATCTGTGAGCAGACAAACAACTCCTGAAACCCTTTGGTCTTGATCTTTATCTGGTATGGGTGCTGCGTTCTCCATGGAACGCCTCTCCATCACCCGACGTTTGATATCTTTCCACGGGCTTGTATGAATCATTTCATCTCTTCATACTCTCTTCAAGGTCTTACATAACGATCCCTGGTCCTTGGTGGATTCCTATGCCGTAGGTCTGTCCGCTCGCCTGTTGTGGCTGTCATGAACCCAAAAGGCCTCTGGGCATTGAATACATATTTTAAGGTTGTATGATTTGTCCGGGAACTACTGTGGCGCAGATAGGTCCCTTATATTTCCCTGTCAGCGGACGGTTGTTCTGACCGGTTGCAGAAAGAGGGTAGAGAGAATGAAAAGGCGACCAGCGAAAATGAGGGGGAAGTGGGGAAAATAAAGCGAAAAGAAGCCGATGGAGTAGAATGTAGAAACGTAGGTGGTTTGTGAGAGTGCGTAAACGAGAACCATGATGAGGAAAACTTTGATAAATAGGGAAAAATCACAGGGTTAAGGAGGGAAGGAGGAGTGGACAAGAATGCAACAGGAATAGTGGGAAAAGAAATAGCTAGCCCAATGGTGAAGACGTGGCAGTTGGAGGTGTGAGGTGCGCCAGGGGAGTACGAGGTCGAGCCCAGTTCTCCATAATAGCAGCAGTGCAAAAGATTCAGCATGGAGTTGACTGAGCTGGGATGGTGCGAAAATGGTTGATACTAATCGTAATAGCAATGATAATTTATTCCTGAATTTATGGGTGCGTATCATTTTTATAGATACGGTTATAACGTTTAACCTCGCCTGGTTAACTAGTTTACTAGTTACTAGCCGGTCCTAAGCCCGGGTAAAGAGGGAAGGTTGGGCATATACCCAGCAACCCTACCCCGTAAAACAAATCTAACCGCTAAAGAAACTTCAAAGCACAAACAAAATATAAAAAATGAAAACAAACTTATTCCCCGCTGGAATCGGAGAGGCGAAATGACGCCAGTTGCTGAAAGCCTGACTTCAGGAAGCCAATTGGCCGATGTGTCTTCTCTCGATGAAAGCGAAAGTAAACGTGGGGACATGGAATGTCCGCACGATGTTTGAACCCAGTAAGGCAGCCCAGATTGCAAAGGAGATGAGAAGGTATCACATTGAAGTGCTTGGGATTTGCGAAAGCAGATGGAATGGGAGTGGACTCTGCAAACTGTCAACTGGAGAATCAATAATCTACTCCGACATTGTCACCCAGACGCCAACCACGAGCACACTGAGTGTTGGAGTGGCTATCATGATATCCTCAAGAGCATCGAAGGCTGTGTCTCATGCAGTGGGAACCAATCTCCTCCAGGATCTTGACAGCAAGATTCAACTCAAAAGGAAGAAAGGTCAAAGTCATACAATGTTATGCACCTACAAATAATGCAGAGCAAGAGAAAGAGGAGGAATTCTACAGACAACTTCAATCAACACTGGACAAGACGTCAGTTGGCGATATCAAAATTCTGATGGGCGACATGAATGCCAAACTGGGAGGGGACAACACAGGAAGAGAACTAACCATGGGTCGAGAGGCGCTAGGTGAAATGAATGAGAATGGAGAATTGTTTGCAGAATTCTGTGCATTCAACGATTTGGTGATTGGAGGCAGTGTGTTCAGGCACAAGGATATCCACAAAGCGACATGGATTTTGCCAGACACCAGGACACACTAAAAATCAAATCGACTTAATCTCAATCTCAAGAAAATGGAGACGCAGTCTACTGGACACAAGGTCAAGAAGAGGAGCAGATGTAGGTTCAAACCACTCACCATCTAGTGCAAGGAACCTTCCAAATCAAGTTAAAAGCCTTCAAGGAAGCTGGTGATAGACCTCAATTCAAGTACAACACTCGGAAACTGAAGGATGAAACTACAAAGGAGATCTTCAAGGCAGCCAGCCATCAAGACGAAATGGGAGACATCGAGGAACATCCCTGAAGAAACCTGTGTGGAAGAACACTGGAAGTCTTTGAAGGCTATGTGGAAAAAAACCTGCACGACGGTATTAGGAAGGAAGAAGAAGGAAGACAAGGAATGGATCTCGACGGATACCTGGAAGCTGATAGAGGAGAGGAGGATGGTGAAGCAGAAGATAAACCAGTGCAAGGATGCTCAACGACAACAGGAACTGAGCACAATGTATAAAACACTGGATAAAGAAGTGAAGAAGAGTGCACGCAAAGACAAAAGACACTTCTACGAAACACTGGCAAGTGAAGCAGAACAGGCTGCAGGTAAGAGAGACCTGACGACATTGTATCAAATAACCAGGTTGCTATCAGGGAAGAGACCAACACAGATGAAACCAATAAAAGATGAAGAAGGAAATTTAATTACGAAAGAAGATAAACAGAGGAAACGATGGGCCGACCACTTCAAGAAGCTCTTGAATCGACCACCACCACCACCTGCACTTCGTCCAGAAATACCACCTGCAGCCGCTGAATTACAAGTGAACATAAATCCCCCAACGAAAATGGAAGTCCTGAACTCCATAAAGCTACTGAAATGCGGGAAAGCAGCAGGACCAGATGGGATACCGCCAGAGGCACTGAGAACAGATGCAGAGACAACAGCGGACATGCTCACACCACTATTGCAGAAGGTGTGGAAGGAAGAGAAGGTACCTGACGATTGGAAGAAGGGTTACCTTGTCAAACTGCCGAAGAAGGGAGACCTCAGTGCTTGCAAGAACTGGCTCGGAATCACTCTCCTGTTCACCCAGTGCAAGCAAAATATTAAGCCGCATCATCCTGGAGAGACCTAAGGATGCACTGGATTCAAAACTGCGACCGGAACAGGCAGGCTTCAGGAAGTACAAATCATGTGCAGACCAAATTGCAACGCTACACTGCGCATCATCATAGAACAGAGCATAGAATGGCAATCAGCTCTCCACCTCAACTTCATCGACTTTGAGAAGGTCTTTGACAGCGTCGACCGAGAAGTAATTTGGAAACTGCTTCAATACTACGGAGTACCGCAAACCTTTATCCGCCTCATTCAACAACTATATGAAGATGCCACATGCCAAGTAATTCACAATGGGAAGCTCAGTGATGCCTTTGAAGTGAAGTGGAGACAGGAGTGAAACAAGGTTGCCTACTATCCCCCATGATATTCCTTATTGTGGTGGACTGGATCATGCAGCAAACAGTGTGGAGCGAGAAGAGGGGGATACTCTGGACGACGGAAAAGAACCTAGAAGACTTGGATTTCGCCAGCGATGACTTGTGCCTAATGTTACATAAACTTGAAGATCTGCAGGCAAAAACGAACAAGTTGATAGAAGAGGCAGCTAAGACGGGACTTCAGGTGAATATAGAGAAGACAGAAGTGATGAAGATACCGCACCACCACCATCAACAACAACAACAACAACAAACTCCAGTCACCATCAACGGGAGAAACTTAAAGGAAGTAACCTCCTTCACCTATCTAGGAAGCACTGTTTCAACTACAGGCGGGACGGACGAGGACGTCAAAGTCAGAATCGGAAAAGCAAGACAGGCGTTCATTAGCCTGAAAC